GTAGGTAATACAGATCAAACTGACTCTAAGGAACCCTGTATTCATTAAAGTATTTAGTTTAACAATAAAATCACTTCTATTAGGAAATGAAGTATAGGAATACATGAAGTTGGAATCTAAGTAAATGAAAGTCCCATCTCAGTTTTGAAGAAAACTGATGTGTAGCACATTTATCTGCAACTAACACTAAAATCTGCATGACACACATGTGTACAAACATTTTTCTGTTAATATTTTAATTTACTGCCTCCCCAAAAAGTTGCCATATAATGGAGTTTTCATTAATACTATATATCTGAGCCACTCCCTAAATTGGTTGACAAAATTCTAAAATGGCAAAAGTAAAAATTAGGGCCTGTTACTTGGCCAGGCCTAAAATTTTAGTAGTATTCTACTATTACTATATGTATAAATCATAATCAGGACTAAGTAACAGAAGCTCTAAATGACATGCAAATATTCTTCCTCTTTCTTGGAAAGACTCTGCATATGTTTCTTTTCAAAGTGTGGAAAAAAGATTTGGAAAATGTCATTTCTGGAGAAGAACTGCTACAGCCATTAGAAAAAAACATAGATAGAAACGAAGAAAATTAAAAAACAGGTAAAAATTGGCAAATTTTCTTACTACTGTTATTGTAGACAGCTGTATATAGAAAGCTATATTTATCACTAATCTACTGTAATAAATACACATGGAACTAACACTGCTTCTCAATGACTCCATTCTTCTTGAGCTTTTAAAAATGTTATTAAACAATACTTTGAGACAAGGAGCTGGCTAAATAACACCTCAATTGTACTGGAAATGTTATAAATTGTATTAACCTCAATCTATTGGTATATTTCTTAAATTTTTTATTTTGTTTTGCTCATTTAACATTCACGTCAATCAATCTTTATTGAAGCTCTGTTTAGACTGTGCTAGACAACTGGAAGACCAAGTCTGTACACTTGAAGAACTCACAAGACTAGCAGAGGAAGACAGAAAAATAAATGGAAATTTCAATGCCATATGATAGATGCTAGAAGAGAAACACAGTGTGTGCAAAGGGCTATGGGTCCAGCCAAGGGGAAGGGCAAACTGACAAGATACCACTGACTCAGGAGATCTTTGTACATTCTGATACAGAGCGGGATCACAGCATTCACAAAGGAAGCAAGAGCCAGGAGGCTAAGGAAGCAAGGGAAAGGTGACTAAAAGAGGGATGAGGGCAAAAAGACCAAAAGTAGAAAGAAATGAAAACACTTGAAAATGAAGAGACGCACAGATTGCTCTGGATCTGTGCCTACAAGTTCACACACACACACACACACACACACACACACACACAGAGGCTAGACTTCATACAGGCACATGGTGAGACTTCCTTTGGGTGGTTGATTATCAAGGATTAGCAGGGGCAGAATGAAAAGACAAGGAAGTGTGTGTGTTCAGATTTCCTGGAATCTATACAGGGATCCCAACCTCCCTGCACATAAGTAGCGCCATTGATGTTAAGTGGGAAACAAAGCTTCCATTAAGGCTTATTTCGTGATTTAGATACCCTGGTGTGCAATTTCTCTCTCTTAACTGTTTTAATTATTTAAGTGAAGTAGTAAGAAATAAGATCATATATCATCTTTTATACTTTAGCTACATAGTCCAGGATCATCTGTGGTAAAAGAAAGCTATAAAACATATTAAAGACCTCATGAATAAATACCAATCTCGTCCCATACTCACATTTGAAAACCAGGTAAACAATGTTATTTTAATTTTCTTTTAAAAATAGGTATATATACTGTACATAAACAGTTCTTCAATAACTGCCTGAAATAAGACACCATTATTTTCAAGACAGTCCATTTTGCCGATTTACTAGACTTTCAAAATTTAACATAAAAATTAGGAAATGACAACTAAGTTTCTATAATCACATGGCACCCTGAAATATGTGAAATACGATCTTAAATAAGAAAATATTTAAATATACTAAAATTTCACACTTTAATGAAGCATCATTTAACAATTTACTTTTATAATATATTCAAGATAACACCTATAATTGTCAGTGTTGTCATTTCAAACAGTAACAGTCTTCTTATTGTTTTCTGGCTATGAAATTTTTAAGTACATGAATGTTTGTTAACAAACATCTTAGTAGAAGTCCTATCTCAAAACTGATATTCCATTGCTGGGAGCCCATAGTTGTCTCAAATACTAACTAAATATGATAACTCCAATGGACCATCACTATCAGCATTACATAAAAAATTCTGAAACTGTATCCACTGAGTGTAAAGACCATCCTGTCACATTTGTGCCACCTCTGTGATGTAATACACTGGAAAATACTTCTACTCAAGGCTTCTGAGTCAGTACTGATAACAGCAAATACAATGGTAGGCAAAAACTATAGAGGATGAACTTGTAAATATTCCCCTGGTGATTTACAGTGTAGTTTACTTTTCACAGAAAATAGAAATCATAAAGTAATATATAAGTGGGACTTCTAAAAATTCCATTTTAGAAGTTGAGATTACATGTTACCAAATAAAATGACATTCTGGAATTAAATTAGATATGAGTAGCACCACTGTATATAATTATTACATAAAGCCCTCAAGCCCTGTGAATATCAATATGTGGTAGTTTATTTGAAATAGTATTAAACAATTATTTCATAAGATTTTACATATCATTTGTATTGACTGAGATTTAATGTACTCTGCATAATTTGACTAAATTAAGCATCTGCAGATTTTCACATTCCTTTCCTACAATGTAACATGGCCTGAAAGGCCTTCTTTGAATGAAGTAAGGAGTACTATATACATATTTTAGAAGAATTACTTACAAAGGCATCAGTCACAATTATGTCATCAGGAATAACTTATCCTTACCTTTCTGACTCAGAACATCTAAGCAATTCAAGAGCACAAATTTAGAAGACAGAGGATATAGGCTGTGCAATTTTACTGATACAGCACATATTCTTCCCCTATTATATAAACTTTTCCTCTTCAGCTCTATTAACACGCTAACAATTTTAAAACAATCCCTGATTTGTCTATGGAGGTATTTCTTTCTCATTTCACCAGCTAATTAGCCAAAAGAAGCATACAGTCTCCCCCAGGATTCAAACATCTAATGTCTAAAATCACTCTTAGTCATTTACCGAAACAAATGGTCATCTAGTACAACTTCTATAAATCTCAGCCCTTTCCTGACCCACACCGCATGATCATGACTGGCAAAATCTCTAAAAATCATACTCAGTGAACACACAACTTTATTTTTGTCACTTGCTACCATTCACAAAAAAAGGATTGTATATATACCAAGATTCTTTTTCCACTGTCATCAGCAGTCAATCTGATGATAAAATTTTAACCACTGAAGATACAAATTTTCTCCATTTTATTAGAACAGCAATAAAACACAAGCAAAACCTAGATTCTGGTGTTAATTTTCTTATTAGCCAGCTTATAACATCACACTTTCCTCATGTACTATAGCTTCTTATTCTAAGGGACACTAATCGGTTTTAAATGGTGTTAAATACCATCCCTGCAGTTGCAAGTGCTTCTCTGGGATTTTTACTAGAGAAAAGAACTCCTGTAATTTAAAACCACTTTGCTTTCTTCTTTCACAGCTGTTAGGGAAACACTGACCTGAAGAAATCTTAAAGGTTTTTCACCCCTCTCCCAGCACCATTAGTCTGAATTTATTTTCTAAGGTTTCTTTGCCCGGAGTGCCATGGTTCTTCCATAATTCCCATCCCCCAAAAGGCTTTCAGCAGAAAAATCAAGGCTTTTTGCTGGTTAAGCCGTTTTCTCTCTCTTTCCCCATCGCCCCCCACCCCCTTACAAAACCTTGGCTACTCTTAAAATTCTCCAACAACGTGTCAATTTTATGTTGGCCACAAAGACAACTTCTGTTGGGGGAGGAGAGCAAGGAGGGACTGGAGCTTGGCTGTCCCTTTCCACAGACAGGGATCTTTGTGGCAATCAGAAAACATTTCCTGCATAAAAATTCAACATGCACTCTGGGTGCAAGGTTGGGGAGCAAGAGAGGCTAGATACCAGCCGTGGCCTCAAATGAACAGAATGCATCCCCTAACCTTCCAAAGGGGAAGGCCGTTTTCTCAAAATGTGCCAGCTTTCCAGCCTTATTAAACATTATCCACAGTCTCAGATCCTGGGGCAGCTTCCCCACTAGTCTGGGTGAAGCTATAAATCACTCCTGTACTTTCCCCTTTTCTTCCGCATTTCCGCTGCACAGCTTTCCATCTAGCTCTGCTCTGACAAGCTCAAGAGGGGACCAAGGAGACAGAACCCAAAGTCATGCTAACAGGGTACCAGGTCTTGCAGGACCTGCCCGTGTTCATTTGTAACCTCACAGTCCGCACCTCCAGCGGGCTTCCGTTGACCACAGAGCCTGCATGGGACTCCTCGTGCAAAGCATCTTTGACACAATGCTGGGTCTCTGGGGGAGGGGCACCCTTGCCATCCCACGTGGGGAAGCAATTTGGTCCACACAGACATGCCATTGAATCTCTGTCACCTTTCAGCAGCTACACCCCAAGTTCCAACCCGGAAAGAGGTCACAGATGAAACAGTGGGCTGAAGCCGCAGGGAGGTCTACAGATCCACTCCCAGGTCTGTGTGTGTGTGTGGGGGCGGGGGGGGGGGGAATCTCCCATTCCCCCAGGGGCTGAAGCCTAAAAAAGCAATAAAGCATCACCTCCCCACCCGCCTCCCTCTCAAACCGACTCCACATTTTTGCACCTATTTTCCCCTCAACATCCCACTGGCATCGAAGGGCAGGTCGCTGAGCACCACCCCACCCTGCCACCTGTCTAAAACCTTGAAACGTAAGACTAGCTTGAGAGACCAGTGAGGACTACAAATCAATCCAGAGGTGACCCAGGCACGTGGCGAGGGTCCGGCCGGCGTGGGACACAGCACGTTGCGACCCCGTCGCCCCCGCCCCGGCACCCCCTCTCGGCTGGCCTTACCTTCTTTGGGCGGTCGCTTGGCCTCCCTGGTAAGATTGCAGACCTGGGTGGTTTGCAGCTCTTGGGTCAGGCAGCCCTCGGTCTGCTCGTTCAGGGGTAACACCACGTTATTTAACAACACCAGCGACTGGTCGTCGAGCCCCCACTCTCCCAAGTGCTGAGGGCAGGCACACTTTGTATACATGATTCCGCAGGACTCCGTTCTCCCATTTTCCGACTTTAAGCAGCTCTCCAACCAAGTGCACAACACATGGCAACCAAACTGGCTCGGGCTCACCTTGTTCAACACCAAAAACTCAAAAAAAGATTTCTGATCTTCTTCTCCTTTTTTCTGTAATCCTGGGAAATCGGTTGGAAAGACCCGACGTATTTGAATAAAATTTTTGTCATACTGTAGAAAAACGAAAGCATTCTTGGATTCGCAGAGTTGCATTATAGAATGATTCTTTCGTAAAAGATCCTTGATTTTTTCATGGGAAAAATGATCAAACTGATAAGCCAGGAGGGAAAAGTTAGAGCAGCTAAGGTCTTTTTTGGAAAATTTCAGGTAAATGCTATATTTGGTTGGATCTGGATTTTCCAGCGTCCAAGTGCAGTTTGTAAAGTTTTTGGGAAACATTTCACTTACAGAATACGATCCATAAATGACTCCCTTCACCAAAGTTGAACACCAGAAGTCTTGGGCAGCATTAAATCCAAACATAACCAGGAGATAGGTGGAAAATATATAAATCAGCAGGTTACGAACAGCCTTCATCCTATGTCATTTGGCCTGTAAAAATGGCAACGAAAGTAAAATGCAAGCAGGAGTCTACGCACATTGATAAAAAGAAACTCCTTCCAATATTACAGCCAGCTGTTCTCAAGATTTCAGTAAAAAAAGCCTTTTTTAAAAAGGGCAGGTAATTTTTTTATAATGCCAGAAAACTATCTGTTGCTGTGTGAACAGCGCCCTCACGTGGCCCTTCGCAATGGCCAAATTCTCTACATTCAATTTAAAAATAATATTCAATAGATTACTAATAGGAATGCTCTTATCTACCAAGATTTCCTTCAAGTGCATTATGATTCTATTGAAAGAAGAGGAAACTTCTGCTTTTTAAATATTACAACCTAAATTTTAATTTCTGAGATATTTTTAAGCAACCTAGACAAACCTTTTCTCCCCCTCAGCTCTCTGCCTGCAGTAAACATCATCACACAAAATCTAATCTGATAATCTGGGAACAGCTGCTGTCATATTATTTGTTTTCTTTTAAATGTGAAAAGCACGTATGATAAATGATAGCCTCAATTTTAAAAACACAAATGGTAATTTGCTGCAGCTGAAACACCATCACCCAAATGCTCCTACTAGTCTTTGCAGGGGCCACTGTGTGAACTGACGGGAAATTCCTATGCAAAAATACAGGTATTCATGTAGATTAATAGAATTTGTAAACTATCACCCAAGAAAGGGCAGATACAGAAGGAAGACTTGCTTTTGGACATCATCATTGAGAACCACAATTTAAGGCAGTCATTTCAATGTGACATGTCTCCTGGGATACATAAAGTAGACCATTGTATTAGTATCTGTATCCAAAGGCGATACTAGTGAGTAATCCCAGAACCACAGTAACTGAACTGGTTTCAGTCTTTTTTTTTTTTTTTTTTAATTAGGGCTATTTTACCTAGAGTTATCTACTATAATTTAAAATTTACACATGGTAGATACAAGAATTAGCATTGTCTCTTCTAGCTGATTTCAATTACTGAATTGTTGCTACTTCTCCAATAACAGCTCCAAAGCTCTTTTCTTCTCCCCCTCTATTTTTTTTTAACCTGGCCTTGCATAATACAGTAATTCTCGGTTATATTTACCTCTGTAAGTTGTTATCCAAAAGTAACTTGAATATTTTTCAGCTTTAACCTTTAAGAAGTTATTTCTTAGAATAAATGACACTGCTTTTTTGCTTAGCCTTTGAGCTGAGAAAAGTGATGCCAAGTTAATTTTAAAAGTCTTTAGGCTGCAGTCTCTTCCACTGTTCTGTAAACAGAGACAGACATACAGACATATAGATAGTTAAGAGTTTTCATGTCTTTCCCTGGGTCCTCTCTGAACCAAAGGATAAAACCCTCTTCCTCCCCATTGCATAACACACCAATGCATGCACACAAAATCCAGTGATGAAGTCCCTGAAAACAGATCTGCAATCCCCAGATCATGATTCAAATTCTATGTCTTCATATAAGCAAAAACAACTCCAACTCTAAATCTCCATATAGCAGCAGTTTAAAATAACACCAGAATTGCTGGGACTATCAAAACAGTGTTCTCTGATTCAAACATACAGCTCAATGAATAATGCATTTTCTTCTTGAGAAAATAAACCCAATGAGGATGTAAAGGTTAAAAAATAGGGAAAGTTATAGGAAATTCTAGAAATAATTCCCCCCTTTTCCCTCTGCTGTAGCACTTTGCAGGCAATGCAGGTCTGCGCAGTGTTCTTCAGGATAGAGTGTAGGCGTTGAGAGCCAATGTGACAGTGAGTGTCTAAATTAGGAATTCCATCCATGAAAGGGGGCTTCATTTGATAATCACTAACTCAAAAAGAGGTCGTATTTCTTTTCCTAATGAAACCCGGTACTTTTGCTTCCATCTATTTGACAGTGCATGTCTGCATTGCTGTGCTCATCAAGGATGAGAAACAGTGGATAAAACGGCTCTGATTTCACTCTTCGAGCCTGCTCAAGAAAGCCCCCTCAATATAACGCTCTTTATTTCGATCACTGGTATACTCCTTCGTGTACGGAGTCTTCTTTTATTCTACATAATCACAAATGGATCCCCGAACTCTGTCACCCCCACCACCGCCCCCATCCCCCGCCAGTCCCCGACTGCAGGGCCACTTCCAACAATTATATCTTTCTCTTTAAGAAAGAAAGAACCGGGTTGCGGGTGTGTAAGGGGCCCGGCCACCGAGAATTCAAGGATGTGCCATTTATTTATTTATTTGTCTCCTACTGAGAGGCAAACTGGCGTTTAGTTTAGCTCCCCTCAAAACTGATTTTCTGGGTGACACTTTAGTCGAACATAGACGGCGCCATCACTCCACTGATTTTTTTTTTTCTTTCTCCCCCAATAAAAGCCCCACGGCCTCCCCTTACCTTAACTTCCTTTTAACCTAACATTTCCCCCCACAAAATGACCCCGATCACACGCAACTGCCAGATGTTCCAGGTCTCTCAGCCTATCCCTCCTGGCCGAGCTCATCTCTGGAAAAGAGACTTGCCTAACTTTTCAACTGCGGCGTTTAAGTCAATGAAGACCGTCAGGTCTGCTCGCAGCCCTTCCATCCGCCAGCAACAGCCTTGCCTTTCCCGATCCTTCCTCCGCAACCCCCCCCCCCCCCAACCGGGGAAAGCTGGCGGCTGGCGACCCTGGCTGAGGGAAGGTGACCCCCGGACCCCCGTCCTTACCTTCCTCTCGGAACGCTCGGGGCGCCTAAGGCAGCAGCGCAGGCACGCGTCCCAGCAACAGCGACGGAGAGACGCCCCTTCGGTCCCGAGCCCCGGAGCCCATCTTTCCCCAGCTGAGCTTAGAAAATCAGGATGGATTTTTTTTTTTTTAACGCGCACATAAGAGAAGCAAAGAACGCGGGGATCGGGGGTGGAGGGAGAGAGAATCAAAGAGGGGAGGGCTGGGGGAATAAAAGCCCCCCAGGAACCCCGAGCCTACGCCGTAGCCAAGTGAATCCAACCTCCCACCGAGGCGCTGGCGGGAGCGGGGAGAGCCCCCCGAAGAGAGACGCTAAGGAATTTAAAAAAAAAATAAAGGAAGTGGCTTCACAGCCACTGGAGCTGTTTTTCCAGACCTGCCCCCCCACCCCCCACCCCAGCACAGCGATCGGCCAGGAAGCCAAGGAAGCGCGCCGAGCAGAGGCGGCGGCGTTGCCGATGCGCCGGGTTCACTCCGCGGGCGCCCGCGGCCGCCTCGGGAGGCTGGGGCTCCTGCCTTCCCCTCTCCCCGCTCTTCTCCCGCCCCTCCTACTCCTCCCGCCCCCCAGCCCGCAGGTACAGAGGAGAGGAGGGGAGAAGAAGAAGAAAAAAAAAAAAGCAGCCTTGGCTGGGGATGCTGGTGATGTCGGAGAGCCGTGTGAATGCCCGGCGAGGAGGGAGGCAAGAGGGGAGCCAGATAGTAAAGCTCTGTGTCGGGCGTGCGCGCGCGGCGCTCGCTCTCCCGGGCGCGCGGCGGCCGGAGCGCGCGGCCCCCCAGGCGCGCGCTGGGCCCCCGCGTGTGCTCGGCGGCGACGGAGAGAGCGCGCGGCCCCCGCCGGGCGCGCGCCGGGCCCCCGCGTGTGCTCGGCGGCGCGCGCGTGCGGTGCGGTGCGCCCGGAGGCGGCCCGGGGCCCGCGCGGAGCTCGGCCTGGCGGGGCGCGGGCGGAGGGAGGGGCGCGCGCGGGACGCCGGCGGGCGGCGCGCCAACCCCCGGGTCGCGGTGCCCCTCACGTCACCGCTGCTTCCAGCCCGCACATCCCGGGAGCGCGGCTGTCTGCGCCTGGGAGGTCTCTGCACCTGCAGTTCCCAGCGCCGCTGCCGGCGGGGACTGACCGCCCCAGGGAGGCCAGGCCCGGGCTGCGGAGCGCGGGAAGGCGACCCCCGGGGCTGGGGGCGAAACTGCCGCACTAGGTCGCCTTTCTCTCTCTCTCTCTCTCTCTCTCTTTTTTTTTTTTTTTCAGCGCCGACCTGTCGCAGATTTTCCTTTCCGCACCTGGACTCGGAGGGATGGATCTCCCACCGCGGAGGGGGCAGGTCTCGCCCCCCGCAAATGGCGCGCGTACCCGGGAGGAACAATACTAATTTTTTTTTTTTTTTTTCCTCTGCAAGGCTGCAATTAACATCTTACTTGTTCTGGCTGATACAGCGACCGAGGTTGGGCGTCTGCGTTGCTTTCTGCATGGCAATGGGATCGTGCCTACGGGGTCGAAACTTTTGTTTTCTTAATGCATCCAGTTCTTTTTCGAGTTTCCCTAGTAACAGTTTGGGGACGGGGGTGGCAAGGAGGGAAGGACTGGAGGAGGAGAAGCTACCATATTCTCGATTTAGCAGGGAAAGAGGGGTAAATGTCTATCACTCCCCACCTTGGTGCTCTTGCCTCCTGGACAGTCGGCTGACAAGTATTTGATTAACTAGCTTCCAGTACAAAAGGTTATTTGCCCACCGGGTATGCCTCTACTTGTAAACGCAGTTGGTGCTTTGCAAAACAGGTGATAAAATAGTGCGTTGATGTAAGGGGAAGAGACCACGTTCCGGTAATTCATACAACGTGTGGAGTCTTCCTCTGGGTGAGTTGCTTGAGCGGCAGGTAAAGTTGAATAAAGCACATTTCCATCATTTTCTCTCCTCCTTCTGCATTTTTTTTTCTTCCTCATGTTGTTCCTCACCCCTGGGTCGATTGGATAGCCGGGAACATCATTTTAAAAGAGGATTGCAGTGAAAACAGAAAGGTGTCCATGGTCTGTTCACAGGAGTTGTCTGAAATGTTAAAACTGGTCGTTTACTGCTTAATACATATTAATAGGGTGACCCTCTTTAAGGCTTTTTCTTTTGGGACAAGTGTTCAGAATAAGACTCTGTTAGGGAAACAGTTAATCATTCCCCATCCAGCCGACTTTAACCGTGTTCCAGGAAAATTCACTGCCGAGAGCTGCCTGGGTGGCGTTTTGGTTTTGTGTCGTTTTGGGTTCTTTTCAATATTTTTTATTCATTTAAGAG